AAAGTTTAAGGTAGTTCTAATGTAGGACACTAGTGTCGTACACTAATTCATTACGCAGACAAAAAAAAAATCACTGATAAAAGCTTTACTCTGGTCAGAATTGGTAAAAGGAAATACTCGTGGATTAATGTTAATTTAATACTTTGGAAGATAACCAAGTACTCTGTAAGGAATCAAGCTATAATAAAAGGGAATAACAAATATAAACAGGGATAAAATGCCATGTGCGTGTCCATGAGAGAGAGAGAGAGAGAGAGAGAGAGAGAGAGAGAGAGAGGACCTGTCCATGATGTGATATGGCCAATGTACAAGGCTGCTGGCCAAGGTTCTCCATCAATTTGAACAGGCAATGCAGTAAAGAGATGTATCTTAATGGATTGTCCCTGTGCCAGTCTTCGAGCGATAGAAAGGCCCACCTGTGATAGCACAAAGCAGCAGCAGCTCAGAGACATTTTCCAAAACAAAACTTCAATGTCAAATTTCCAGAACTCATATCAGAAGAAGGAACCAAAACGAAAAACCAAATTTAGAAAGTTGGATCAAAGTTAATTAAATGCTTTACTATCCACCATAAAAGGAATGACAAGGCCCAAAGTTTTCCTATATTGTGCTTTAGGGCACGCAGTCAAACCCAGTGATATGGTATGACAAAGCCAAGTTCTTTTAGGCAGTAGAGTAAATTAGATAGAACTTGTTTTCATTTGCCTTTGGAAATGCCAGATAGAATTTTTACACTAAAGCATCATCCTCTCTTCCTCAAAAGACTAGATTACCTGCAGTTTCCAAGGTGCCAAGTTCCAGATATGCTCACGACCTTTAATATTTTATCATGCATAGACTGAGGATCAAAATTCTCAAATGTCTCATCCTCGTTTGGCAAAGGTCTACACCCCCCATATAGCTTCCAATGTTTGCAACAAGTACGCCTTCTGCATCCTGTATGGGTTTAGAATACTACTGTGACATATAGCTCACCTGTTTCATTCGACATACTACTGTGACAGTCCACATGTAGGAGTCGTTGGCACCACAAGCAACACCATATAGGAGATCCACCAAGAAAAGGCCCAGTACATGGTTATTCACAATAGCTACAGAAGGACGCATCATCAGGTTGATCAGTAAGCTCCTTCCATCGAACTGCGCACTGTTGCACCACATGATCAAAGCCAACCATAGATACACACTTGCAATCCTTGTGTGCACTCAAAGAGCAGCTCAAGTGAGCTGCTGCGCCACAGATGCTACAACGGTGAATGAAGCTATCTGAAGCTGTCATGGGCCCTAGCGTTTGGGAAGGTGGCATTGGCTTTAAGCAAGCACAGCAATTTAAATTCTTTCCACAGGATATTGATCCCAGCTCCCAAGTATGAGGAGCTAAGGAACCTTATGCTTGGCCTTTGGGTTCTTTTTCGACCTAGCTACAGCTTTCATCCAACTTAAATTAATGTTTCTTCTCCACTAGAAAGCTGTGTAAAATATAGTCAAAATACCAACGAGGCCGTTTCAGCTGGACTCTTGTCGGTCCAACTGGCATGCAACATACGTTCTTCATCCTTTCTTCAAAACTTTATATTATAGCATTCTACAGTCACTAACAAACACCACACCACCTAACCACCAAATGTCGATGTAAAAAAAAAAAAGGCTTCCTACCCATTGTCTATAAAAACCCAGATTCTTACCATGTTCATACTCCTTACACCACCTCATTAGGTTCACTTCTTGTCTCACAGAAATCCTAAAAGCCCCCTTTTTTCTTCATCTAAGAAAAAAATGCTTATATATTGAGAAAAACTGCTAACCCAAAATCACTAATTTTGACAGCCTAAACAACCAGTGATATCAAAACTCCATTGCTTTGATCAGAGCCAATAAGGAATCAAACAAAAATCCTGCAAAATAATATTTATAAATTCATAGAAGTTACTTATAATGCATACAATCAAAAGGACATATCAATTAGATTGATCTCTTGAAGTATACAATGTCGAGAAAACGTGGTAACATTGAAACGACTAATACTTATCATTATTTTTTTTTCTTGGATCACGAAAGCAAAGAAGCCTTCGCAGCGAAGTAAGCTTGAAATATTTTTTTTTCTCAGCAACAAAACAGAGAATCAGAAAATGAATAACTTCAGCAATCTAACACGAAAGGATAAGAGACAAATTATTCAAAAAAAATAAAATAAGAGGGAGAAGAGAGACTTACAGAAGCGGCCAATGAGAGAGAAAAGAAGATCGATTAAATCACAGAGAAAACTCTAGGGCAAAGGAATTGATCTAGGGAGAGAAAACCGTGTGGGAAAATCGAAAACCCAAAAGCAAATGGCCCTGATTTCAAGATTTCAATTTTCAAATATTCAAAATCATACAAAAAGCTAAATTCAAAACAATAAAATAAAATAGAGCTTCTTTATTTATTCATTTATTTTTGTTTTAATTACAATATAAAAATAAAATTTTAAAAAGGCTAGAAAACAGGGGGGATTCTGAATTTTGGAGCGAAGAAGAAACCGTGCGTGTCTACAGTTTATAGACTAGAGAGGGAGCGAAGGTGAGTAGATTTTGAATCTTGGAGAAAATGCCACGTGGCTTAAAAAGCGTGGAGGTGGTGCAAACATTGGATTCCACTTCGGGGTATGGGTTGTTGTCACGGTCCGCGTGAAGGACTAGGCCCAGTGATTCTAACGTAATCGGGACCAAGTCAGAAAGTAAGGGAGACCAGGCCTGAAGGCACAAGGGAGATCTTGGGGCAAGATTATGACCCAGGATGGGTGCACGGTCACTGAAACAAGCTCAAAGAGCTCAAGCCGAGGGATTCGATTCGACGGTTTTCGGACAGATCCAGGCATAAGAGTAGAAGTAAGCTCAGGCGCAAGCAAAATTAAGGATATAATTGATCAAGTTTGAGTTGATAAATATTAAACTTTGAGTTTGAACTAAATTTTAAATTTGTAACTTGCAACTCGGCTGAAACTTGATCAAGCTATATTTTTTTTAATTTGAATTTGACTCAAGATAAAAATTGAATTATTAGAACTCGATCGATTAAGCTTAATTAATATATAAAAATAAGTTTGATTTTTATATTTAATAAAAATTTAATTATTTGTGTTCAAATTCAAAAACAAATTTAAGATATTTTATCAATTAAAATAATTAAAATATATTAAAATATAAAAAATTTAATTAAGCTCGCGAATTATTTGAGTTGAGTGTAAAAATACTTGAATTTGATTTGATCGATAAATTATCTGATCTCTAACTTGACTCGATAATAATTAAGCTGAATTCGAATTTAATACGAGTTGAACCCGAATAATTTATGAATATTAATATATTATTTACATTCCTAGATAAAATTAAACCAAGCACCAATCAAATTAAATAAAGAGTTCAAACTGATTCAAACTCCTTTCTAATAGAGTCTATGTAAAATTAGAACTTTCCAGTTGTAATCCTTTGTAATGTCTTGTATATGTTGGATTACTTATGAGTTTTAGGATAGAAACTATCTCACGTATTGATTTAAGGGAGCCTTAGCTATAAATAGGAGGTGCTTCACCCCTCGTTGTACTCACACAATTTGAGTAATACAAGTTTACTCTTGCTTATCTCTATTGTTATCTTTAACTTTCTATCAAATAGTTTTATGTGCAATCTTGTCTAGCAGTAACTTAGTTTACTTTTGCCTATCTCTGCTGTTCTTTTAACTTTCCATCAAATAGTTTATGTGCAATCTTGTCTAACAGCAACTTGGGGTGGCTAGCCCTGGTGATTCGAGTGTTCGTACACCAATTTGGTTAAAGGCTAATTTAAAATGTCGGATGAGACTCGAGTCACACGAGTTAAAGCTTGAGTCTTAGCCTGTAACATAATGGCTTGACATGATGTGGACAGGTAATTCACTTAGAGACACATGTGAGCAAGTTAGATATAGGTTGAGACGTCGGATGAGTCAATTTTCAAGTTTTGATTCTAGAGTCGTATGAGTTAAAATTTAAGCCTTATAATGTCATGACGTGCAGTAACTACTGTTCTCTTTCACTTTTCATCAAATAGTTTATGTGCAACCTTGTCTAACAACAACTTGGGGTGGCTAGCCTTGGTGGTTCGAGTGTTTGTGCATCGATTCGATTGAAGGCTTAAGTCACACAAGTTAGAGCTTGAATTTTAGCCTGAATTTTAGCCTGTGACATAATAACTTGACATGATGTGGACAAGTAATTCATTACACGTATGAGCAAATTAAATATGGGTAAGTGAAAATGAAGGAATTAGGCCAAACTTTTGCATTATCTAAGAATACATTAATTCCTAAATTAATGTCTTAATCGTTCTTGTTTAAGTTTAGATTGCATAAACTAACTAGATTTATCATTTTCATTGTTACTTTTTTTTTTCATTTTTAAGACATGATTTTTTTTTTCATATTTACATGACTAGAAATTAAAGTGTAAGTAAATCATGCTATTTACAAGGTATTTAAATTTGATTAAAAAACCTCAAAGTTCGATTGGTTTAATGTTAGAATTTGAACCATTCGAATAACAGGACAATCCAAATCTAAATACATTAACATCTAACTCTTAAATTTAATAACCTATCCAAAAAATTCACAAATCTAATTAATTTTTTTAATATATAAAAATTAATAATTAATTAATAGAAATATATTATTTTAATATCAATATTTATAATTTATCAAACCCAATCGAATTCATCAAACTGAGATCGAACAATTCAATTAAATTATTAAATTACAAATCAAATCAAGCATAAAATATAAAATTAAATTAAATTCGAAACTAGGCCTCAAGTTTTTGAATGTACTAATAATATATCGACCTAATTCGACTCAATTACTTTGCATGAACAGAAATTTTTTTTTTCAAAATCTATATAATCTGTTGATAATAAAATGTTAAACAGAAAATTTTGTCATCAATACTAATGGATAATGAAGTGAGCAGGGAAAAAATACAAGTAGATGGGTTTCTAGAAATGAGTTTTAAATAGACTTCAAAATTGAAGGTCCATAGCCAACAAACAGCATATTGGAATTCAAAACAAAAAAAAAAGCTTCATATAGAAGAAACCAGAAAGACACAGACCAACCAGGAAATTGATTATCATTGCCTCCTAAAATAGTACTCTTTCAAACAACTAAATTCAGGAACTCAACCCATTGGAAAGCATCTATTAAATTTCTCAGAGGGCAACTGCAATCCTTCCAGCAACTTGGTCAAGATCACGTTGGCCATTAGATGTGATTCTCCTACCACTGATACACAGGAATATGATTTTAGTTGATATTAACAGATGAAAGAATGTTCACAATATGCAATATAGACATACAGTCAAACAAATGAACACAATGAGCTATTCTACATAAATAGTTTCTGTAATTCAATAATTAAATCTTTTTTAAATATAGTTATGTTTTCGAACCAAAGAGATTAATTAAAAAAAAAAAGGAAAATCTGCATTGTTATATCAAAGAGATTTTTCCAAAAAAAAAAAAAAAGTGAAATACATGAATAATTCAAACCATATTGCCTCCCCTTGCAATATTAATAGTATAGACTACCAATTACCTTGAGTACTAATACTAAAAGCAATAAAAAACTTATAAAACCAAGAATCATACACAAAAAAACTCACCCCTTGGTATCAAGATCGATGATGTTCATGTTCTGCAATTGCTGGAGAATGTGACGAGCAATAGAGCCACTGCTCTTGCAGAAATGACGTGGGCGGCTGCCATTTCTCTTGGCAGCTCCATATATCCTCCTGAAGGCACCAACACCAAGACCTCCCCTCATGTAGATTTTCCTTGCCATGGAAGCTACAAATTAACGAAAAATGGTGTTCATGGGAACTTATAGATGCATATGGTGCATTAGTTGCGCTCATTCATAGGTGCCTAAACAATCATGTCTTTAGAAAATAAAAAACCGGCAGGGGATTAGAGAGAGTGAGAAATCCACATACCAGCTCTTATATAGTACCAATCAGGGTCATATGGAGCAAGCTCCTTAAATTTACCACCCTTGACAATATCGGTCCATGGAGGAAGCTCAATCTGATAAAAACAGGGGGAAAAAGGAAACATAAGGAAAGAAGTAAACCCCTTATCCCTTCATAATTTTCATACGTCTAGAAAAAGTAGGCATAAAATAAAAACGAACAAGTCGCATAAGCTTCTAAAATTTCAGCAATCTGTTGTGCTCACGACAACATATCAGAGTACGGAAATCATTAATCCAGCTAGAGAATCATACCCTCGCATACAATACGAATCACACACCTCACTTCCATCAAATCCATGCCATTAAAATAAAAAAAAAAGAGAAAAACCTAAGGCTTCATTTATTAGTTGCCCTAGCTACTTCCAATTTTGGTTTCTCATAAGTTGCCATAAAGAAAAAAAAAAAACTGGTAAAAAGTAAAACAATAACTAAGAAACAGTGAACAAATAGCTAAAAATGCAAGAAAAATTCCAACATACGAGTTCAAAATAGAAAGTGTAAATCATAGATTTTATTGTTCAAAAACATCTTTACTTTTAACTTTTTAATTCTTAGAAAAAATTATCCACCAATGTGTCAACAATCAAGTAGCAAAAGTAACAATCAAACGGAGGCGAAGGGCACGAGTAACAGCATTAGCAGCAACAACATCCAAGTCTTTTGCAAGATTAATTTCAAAGTTACTTACTTTAGGCTCCTTACTGAAAATTTTAGAAGCATTATCTTTCAATTAAACAGATTTCCCATAATCAAACGAACCCATGGATTAAATAACAAAATACAGAATAGGAAATCAAAGACGAAAACCCTAAAACAGCGAAAAAAGGCAGCAAAACCTACAAACTAAAAGCAAGAGATAAAATGGAAAAGGGATAAGTTAGTAGTTAGTAAAAAGCAAACCTTGCCGGAGCGCTTGAGATGGGTGGCATAGGCCTTCACAAATTCGTGGGGAGAAACGTCCTTAACAGTTCTCGCTGCCTCCATTTTTCTCGCTTTCTCTTTCTTTCTGCGGCGGCGGAAGCTCCTTTGCGGCTTGCGAGATATGTAGTTTGAAAGTGAGCGAGTGGGATAAACACCATAAGAGAGAATTAGGGTTTTAAGCTGGTGTGTGTTCGAAATTACACAACTACCCTTATAATACGACGACGTCTTTTCCCGTGAATGTCCAACGAACGAGTTGTTTTCTATTAGATATGAAAAAAACTATACAAGCAATGTGTTCTTTTCTTTAAAAAAAAAAAAAAATATTTTGGATTATAATAATTTAAAATCAGAAGAAAGAAACATAGTGAAATTAAGAACACTATAGCTAATTAAAATTAAATTTTAATTTGAAATGGAAATCAAATAATGGTTAGAAATTTTGAGTAAGGAACACATGTATAATTGCTATTAAACCAAATGATTGGTATTATTGTTAATTAAAACTTAAATCATTGTACCATTATTACATCATTTTAAGCTCGATCCAAAGCTCAAAAACAATACTATAATATTAATAAATGTTTATATTTTCATTTAATTTATTTTTAAAATATATTTAAAATATTTTCTTTTTATATATTGGTTTTAAAAATTTTAAATTTCACAAATAAAGAAATTAAAATTTGTCAATTTATTAATTAATTAATTTTTTAATATGATAAATATATTTTACTAGCCGATAATTATGTGATTAATATATTTTTAATTCCAATAAACAAGGTTTAATTCTTGAAGAAAATTAGGAAATGATGCATTCTTTTTCATTCAAATGCATTTCTTTTAATGGGAGAGTTCAAGGCCTCTTGGGATTTTTATCTACATATATAAGGTTGAGATATATAGGGATGTTAAAAATATCAATATCGGAATTTAAAACTTAATTAAAAAATTTTTATTTTTTTTTAATAGGTTGCCTTTCATTTCTTTCTTTCTAAGCCTTAGGAAATCTTTAATTTGCTGTAATTTCCAATGAAACAAACGAGTCTTAGTATTTTATTACCGTAAAAACACCAATATTTTCATCTTATCCAGACATATAATTAATATTACAGAGTCAAAGGTGGCTTGTTTTGCTAATAATAACAATAAGAACTTTTCATCCCCAACACAGCCACGGAAACAAACAATCCACAACCGGAAAAAGTCTTTTTCTGTTTTCTTCTGTGAATCATACGTACGTATCAAAGTTCTAATAGGATTCCACAATTATCAGCATTCGGCACTTCAAATTCTTTTTCTTCCCCTATAAGACCACATCCCCCAATGCTTTTTCATCTCCCCTCTCACCTCGATTACTATAACTGTTTGTTTGGTTTCAATGTCAATGATGGAAGACCAAGATGATGATTTTGGTGATCAATATTTACCAGTTGGGTATAGGTTTGTGCCAACAGATGAAGAATTGGTGAGTCATTATTTGATCAACAGGGTGTTTTGCAAGCCTGTTCCAGCTTCAGTTTTTCAAGAAATTAATGCTTCTGAGCTTTACAGCCAGCCTCCAAAGAGTTCAGGTAGGGTTTGGTGATTAATCATAGATGTTGAGTGTTAGTTTCTTTGGTGATTCTCTCTCCTCATCTAAGCATGAAATCCCATGAGTTTTAGATTGCTTTTTTTGTTCGTTTAGATCAAAGGAATCGGTGGCCGATCTACTATGTTTCTACCATGTTCCATGGTTGTTCATGAGCACTCCAAAAAATTAAAAATATGGAAATTTAAACATAAATTCATCAATAATTTTTTATTTATATTATAAATGGATATTGAAAGTCACCATTGATCCGAATCTTGTGCCCAAATCTAAGCTAGAACAAATAGCTAATTCTACAGCCATGGATGATGAAAAGCTAGCAGTTCTTGATCTATGAAGAACATGTGATGTATCCTATAATCCCATTAAGGAAATCAATGAAGGAATTGAAGGATGAAATATTACTTTCCTTTACATATTGAAGAAAAAGTAAAGAAGGAAATTAAGATGAAATGGGAGGAAAACAAAAGGAAGTACGTAGTAACATCTTTTACACAAGGAAGAAAATGGGACATATGAAAATAATTGATAGTAAAATGATAAAATATTGTAGAACTTTTCCAAGCAAATCTATCTTATTTTCATTATATTTCTAATTTTTTTATCTCACCAATCACCCTTTTTTTTTGGTCTTTCCATCTTTTTTTTTTTTCCCTATCAATTAAAGCTCATTTAATAAAAGCAAAAACTTTTAAGCAAAAAATTTGAAATGTACTCAAGCAAAAATGTAAGTTGTCTTCTATTTTTTTTTCCAAAGGAAACTCTCACTAAAGAAATTTCATGTTATAGACTTTTCTTATTTACATTTTTTCTTACGTGGTTTCAAACCACTATATATATATCAGAAAAAATTAAGTAAAATTTACGTTTGTTTTTTGTTTTATCATGTGGTTAACTTTTAGTACGTGTGTGTGTGTCTATGTATATGTGTATATATATATATATATATATATATGTATGTATGTATGTATGTATGTATGTATGTATGTTATTCAATTTTATATTATATTTAGTTTAAGTATTAGGTGGTACATGTGGATAACTTCATTAATTTGGCATGATGGATTTAATTTTTTAAAAAGAGAATTTGAATTTTTCTATTCTATTTAAGTGAATGATACATGCATCCACTATTAAATAACATATATCTACTAGTTTGAGGGTTGGGTAATTTATTTAGATTCGAATGTTTATCCAAATTTTAAAAAAATTTGAACAAAAAATTAAAATTCGTTAAATGAGTTTGGGTATAATTTTCATATTCATTTAAATTTCGGATTAAATCTCCAACAAAAAATTAAAATTCGAGTTCGACATATGTACACTTTTATCTATATAATTTTTGTGGTGTTTTTTCTAACTTGTTTTACTTTTCACCTTTTGCAGTGCAATTCTCTAGTGGAGAAAGAGAGTGGTTCTTCTTTATTCACAAGGATGGAAATTTTGATGATGAGCAACATAAGACATTATTTCGAATGGTTGGAGATGGATTAGGGTTTTGGAGATCAAATGGAGAGAAGCCCCTATTTGACACAAGTGGAAATGTAGTAGCCTTCAAGATTCATTTGACCTATTTTTCGGGATGCCTTTCGAAAGCAAAGAAAACACATTGGAGAATGGATGAATATCGACTGCCCATTCAATTCTATACCCTCCACAATTCCAAGGTAACATCCTTTACAAAACAATACCCTATCAAACAATCCAATAGGATTAGACTCTCTTCCTTTTTTCTCGATTTTGGATGATGAGAAATCGATAGCTTGCATGCACCAATGGTTGAATTCAAGTCCATAGAATCAAATCCGATGTGTGCATGCTTATATATATATATATATATATATATATATATATATATATGCGTGATTTGATTCTTCAAATAAAAAGAAAATAATTTTTTAAGGTTTTCAAATTCTTTTATAACGTTATATTGTTTGCAGGAGGAGTGGGCACTGGGGAGACTTACCAGAGGAAGAGATTACAATTTTGATTTCTAAAACTGCTCTTCATATTATTGAATTTTCAATAAAGATAAAAGACTCATCCAAGTTTTTGGAAAGTCTTACAATGAGTTTTTTAGATGAAGTTTGTGAAATGCTCTATTAAATATGATTAAATAAAAATTAAAATTAAAAATTAAAACCAATAGATTAAAAGGTTTTGTTAAATATATCAAGAATACAAATTTTGAAAAAATTTTACTAAATTTGGATATATTTTTTAAGATAGTTATTTTTAATAAAAATTTTGATAAAATTTTTACAGTTAAATAAGTATATATCAAATTTTATTATAAATAACATTTTAAAATCTATTAATCTATCAGTTTGAATTTTGTAATAAATTTTTTATTAAATCATTTTTAAAATGAAACTTCGCAAATTTCATCTAAAAAACTTTATCTAACTTTTGCCCCAAGTTTTTGTTCGGTCAGGTCTCTCAAATGGAGAGCTTAGATGTCCTAGAAAAATACTTCATTATTAAAATTTTAATCTCTTTCTTGATTCATTATGCACACATGGAAAAAGATTTTTCTTTGTAATTTCAAAAATCATTTGTTATTCAATTATGATTAATTAAATTGATTTAATCTAATGATCCGTATTTGTTATTTATTTGTTCAGTATTTTTACATATTTAGTCTTAAAATTGCATTTTACCTTCAATGCAATGCATAATGAACATCAAATAACAAAAGATTTTTTGGGTCAATCACATATGATCTATCAAAAGCAAAAGTTTGCATGTATTACTATTTTGTTAATTTTTTAATTAAAATTCATTTTAAACCATTTATAGGTGATTTTTAGTACACTTAGTTCAAAATTCCTAGTGATTTGCATACGTTCGTATCATTATATTTGGTAAGGATTTGATGATCAATCTTAATTAGATCACAAAACCGATTAAATAATATTTTAAAGATGATCTAATTTTCATAAAAAAGGATACAATTTTTATCTTAACTATAAATAGCATATTTTGTGTAAATGAAAAACGTTCTTCCTTCTTAGGAGAGGAGAGGAATGGATTATGCATGGGAGTTCGAAAAAAAAAGAGGCTCCGAGCTGAGGATAAAAGGATGAACTGTAGATGATGAGATTTGAACTTTAAATTTATTGAATGTCATTTTTTTAAAATGATTATATAAATTAATTGAATTAAATTTCAGATTAAAGAGAAAGACATCATTTCTGTTCATCTTAATAATAATTTTTTTAAAAAAAAAATTTTTGGATTCCTGTGTGTACAGACAAAAAGAGCTGGATTCCTGGGTTCTTTTGATTTTTCTGTTTTCTTGTGCTCCTTTTTATTATGCATGGCCGTCCTATCATGCATTGTGTATTCTAAGTCTCAAGCTATGGTCTTCTAATTCTAATTGAAGCAAGGGTTACCTTTCAATCCTATGAGTTTATTATTTGTTTATTTTTATTAAAAGGTTTTCATTTATAGATCGATGATGGAAAAGATGTTGCCTTAATTCATATTTTACTTCCTTTATTAAAGGGTTTCATCAAAAGATGTTGCTTTTAGTTACAACCACACATGTCGAATGGCCACAAGGTTTACACATCAAAAAATTGTGAATTCAACGATATGATTGTATATAGTGCTGATCATGACAATGAAAACCACTGTAATAATAGAAATTTGATTGAAAAAAAAAAAAAAAAAACCCCAAAGGAGAGTGATGAAAGATTCCACATCCCACTTTAAATTGTATTGTAAAATTATATTTTTGGTTTTGTTATGAATTCATTAAGAATATATTTTTGTTTTATTCGATATATTTTTTTAGGTCGATCCACAAATTTTCAATGAATTTAAACTCGAATAATCAAAAAAAAGAACAATCTCTTTTCACTGCTCGAACCAAAATTAATTAAGACTATATCTATTTGTATTACCATCAAGACTTTTGGCAAAAAATACAAATAGATATTACACACGGAAATGACTTGGATGGAGTTTTAATCTATCAGAAAAGGTGGTTAATGCCATATGAGTTCAATAAAGCTTGTAAAATTTTTGAAAGAAGAGCCACCTTCATTGACACTTTTTCTAGCAACTTCCTTCAGCTGCAATGCATTTGCTTTTATTCCATCAGAAGAGATCAGTGTTTTGATCTTTGTACTCATTTCATTCCTTGTTATGATTCCATTCTCATCTTTATCCACTGCCAGACCAATCTTCCAAACATCACAAATGTAGCTCCTGTTATGGAATTGATCAGCAAAGTATGGCCAACATAGGAAGGGTTTCCCCATGGTTAGACCTTCCAAGGTGGAATTCCATCCGCAATGGCTCACGAAACAAGCAACAGAAGGGTGAGCTAATACCTTTTCCTGAGGCGCCCATTCGACAATTTTGCCAAGATCAGCCACTCTATCTATGAAACCTTCAGGGAATTTTGCTGTTGACCCATTTGTCAGGTTGGAGCTGATTACCCATAAAAATGGAATGCCAGTGAGTTCAAGACCAAGTGCTAGTTCATCTACTTGCTGTGGATTTAAGATTGTTGTGCTACCCAAAGCTACATAAACGACAGAGCCTGCAGGTTGTTTATCAAGCCAGCTTAAGCAAGTGGAGTCTTCAGGACAAAAATTTCCAGCAAAGGCTTCAATATGGTTACTTGCTAAAAATGGACCAATGGGTATGGCTTTGGGAATCAATTTCATGACTGATGAGTCTAGTTCATAAAATGTGTTGCACAGAAGCTGATCGGCAAATTTGAAAGTTTTGAGGGCAGTAGAAACATATACAAATAGAACTTTCTGCATAACTGGGTCGGAGCAGCTCCATGAGAAGTCAGAGCTCCTCCAGGCTGGGATATCCTCTGAAAGTATGATCGATTCATCTTTTATTAGAGTTCCTATGAAGAAGTTAAAAATTTTTCCATCAGAATCATGTATGTGTTTCTCACATGACAGACTTGAATTGCATAATTATAAAAACAGAACAAACATTTTTTTTTCCTGGTTTGCATAGTTAAATTCTTACCATCGGTATCTATGATTCCAGCGTCTATAAGCTGTGGAACATGTAGTGCCAGGGCCATGCTTGCTGGTCCTGAAAGAAGCACCGCCACTCGTTTGATTCCCATTTCATTGGCAACTTCAAGTGCCCACCCAGCCGCCATATCAGCTATAACACAAACGATTTGCTCATCAACATCAGACCTTTTAATGTTCTCAATCAAGTTCCTCAAATTGCCAGGCATAACTCTCAATATACTTTCTGTCAGCTTAACAAAATCTTGTCGATCATCCTCTGGTTCCAACCCATCAGGAATTGAAACTAGGCTTATCAGCCTCTTCTCCTCCTCAACTTTCGCCGGCAGGGAAGCCATAACCTTCTCATGTATGAATTCTGTATTAACAAATGTGACTTTCACTCCATGAGCTGCAATTTGGAGGGACAACTTCATGAGAGGAGCAACATGGCCTTGCGCTGCGTGTGGTATGACTATTACATGTGGTTGCCTGGCCATGGTATGTCCTCACTGCTTCCACAATCTGCTTGCCTTGATTCTTTTTTACCCTATAAACTAAATTTCTCTGCCACTTTTGCTGAGTGCTGAGAGCTTTAATTTTTGAAAATTTTGTTTTCAATTGTTTTAAAGTATGTATAGTTTAGCTTAAAATCAAGTACTATATGTGTGTGTGTGATTGGGCCTTAGCACTTGGCACGCATCTGCTCCAAGTGGCCTTTACTGTTTGTTTTGTTATGTGAGTGCTGTTTAGTTAACCTAACCCCGGTTTTTCTTCTTGTTAAGATTAAAGAAGCATCTATTTACATCTGCATCTCATTATTTTTTGTTTGAGTCGGACAGATAATTACATAATCAACTGAGTTAAATCATGGATTGCCACAAATATATTTAAATAGCTGTGGGAAGACCTGAAAATTTATTTCCACTTGCATTAGGAAAACTTTGTTTCTTAGTGGGTGTAATTTCTTTTATGTTGTCCTTAAGAACATAGCCAATGACTTGTAAGTTGTTTCACAGCCAATGATAAACCAATCCTCCAAACATTACAAAAACAACTCTGCTAGGGATATTTTTGAGTTCAAAATATAAACTGATTTTTCTTTTTTATTAAAGACTGTCAACAAACGGGTAAAGATATTTTTTATTTTTGAATCAACTTGACTTGTAAAATGTCATGTCTTTATCAATAACCAGCCGGATCTGATGTATTATAAGGGATTTGTCTTTTCTATTGATTTTTACGGATTGGATCAAAAATAATTTTTGAATGAGGTATTCAACTCCAAAATGAATTGAAAAAATTTTTTTTATTGGTTCTACCTTTTATTTTTTATGAAAAAAATAATTTTTTTATCGAAGAATAAAAAAAAATGAGTCTGAATCTTTTAGGGGAATGATTAGAAAGATTCAAAATAAAAAATAGTGGCCTTTGCTATCAATAATATAATGGAGACAATTAATCAAGACATATTAATTCAATTATGTTATCATTTTATTTCATAAATCTCTCGGGTTTTATTTATAAATAGAATCATTCAAATATTATTTATTTATTTTTTTTGTTAATTTTTTTTTTATTTTTCATTCTCTTTCTCATCTCTTATAACTAATTTTTAATTTAAACATCGAAATACTAATAACAAAAACATTTTCTACCTTTGCTTTTAAGAATTCTCTTTCCCTCGTGCGATTCTAGGATTTTCACCTTGAACTCGGAGCTCGGCACTAACAAACTCCTATTACAAAATTGATCTGCAAAGTAGGGCTAACATAGTAAAGGCACCCCTATGTGTGGAGTTCCATCCACAATGGCTCACAAAACAAGCAACAGAAGGGTGAGCTAATACCTTTTCCTGGGGCGCCCATTCGACATTTTTTCCACAATTAGATTGTCTATTTATGAAACCATCTTTTAAACTTGATCTATCTGTCAGGTTGTATCTAACCACCCATAAAAATGGATGGCCAGTGAGCTCAAGACCATGTGCTGAAGATTGATGATCTACCAAATGCAACATAGATTTCAGAACCTGCATTTTCTTTATCAAGCCTACGTAAGTGTTACGGATCTAAGAAAGAGTCTTGAATCTCACATCGAGCATAATAGGAGAGTCCTTGGGATATAAAATGGTTCATATTACCTCTGCCTTGTGAGGTACCTTTTGTAGGATAAAACCGTGAGATCAAAGGAACCAGAGCGGATAATACCTCACAAGGGTGTGAACTGTGGCGAAAAGCTGATCTGAGATGTCGGAAGGGTGAATACCCAGGTTCCGGAGCCGCGCGAGTTCGGAGCTTGAGTCTCAACCCGTGACAAGTGGTATCAAAACTAACCCCAAACCGTTCGATCTACGTCAAGCACCTCAAGGGAGGCAGGCAGGATGGTCAGCTTCCATGACGAGGGCGTCACGAGGTTGGGTGTGAGAGAATGTCACGGACCTAAGGAAGAGTCTTGAATCCCACATCGAACATAATAGGAGGGTCCTTGGGGTATAAAAGGATTCACACCACCTCCGTCTTGTAAGGCATTTTTTGTAGGACAAAACCGTGAGGCCAAGGAGTCAGAGCGGACAATACCTCACAAGGATGTGAACCGTGACGGAAGGTTGATCTGAAATATCAAAAAGATAAATGTCGTAAGCATGTTCCAAGTAACGATCCTACAGGCAAGATGTTGGGAATCAATTTTGAGACTGATGGATCAGGTTGGTATATAATTCGACAATTGGAAGGCATTCCACAAATGTTCAAAAAGGCTTTTTGCTTGACTGGGTCATCAATGCTCCATGGAATCTCACACCATCTCCAAGCAGGAATTTCATTTGACAATATAATTGATCCACTTTTTGATTCACAATTTTAAACCAAGTCCAACTAACGAGTAATATTGCTTAATTGAAGAATTTGGTTGAGAATTTTAAACTTAGGCTTCATTTAGATGATAAGTGAAAAGAAATTTTTATCATTATAATTTTATAATTATTTAATTACAATAAAATTTATACAAAAATTCATCAAGTGATAAAAGGATAAAATTTCATTGTGATTATCTAAATGAAGCACTAATCTAAACTAATTCCAACTTTTGAAATACGATCGGTGATTGTAGTTAAATTTGATAATCTAAAATATAATATGATATAAATACGACATAAAATAAGATATGAAAGTGATATAATTTAAAATTATAACTAATATTATATATATTTAATAAAATTAAAAATATATATTTTATATTTTTATGTTTATATAAATTTTAACACAATTTTTAAGTAAATTATAATATAAATATATAAATTATAATATTTTATATCATATAAATATGTGAATTATCAAATATGTAGTTTCATAGCGAGCAATTGACCAACAATTTGTGGCTACCTTCAAAGATGGGCAACGAGAGACCATCCAAGTCTCCATCGGTCGTCTACCATTGCGTATATCGTGGAAAGTTCAACACCATTGTTATTTCTTTTTCTTTTTTATTAAATTAAAAATAAAAAATAATAATAATTGAATAATTTATCTAAGACGTGTTTGATATATAAAATTATAATATTTAATTTAATTTTAAATGTTAAAATAAATTTCAAAATTTTACTTTTGATATCTCTAAATTATTTGTTTGCTCACGGTTCATTCTAATTTCTCAATTAATTTTTCAATAAACTCGGAACAAACCACCCAAACACTATCTCCAAAATTTCATAAACAAAATGATTAAAGCAATTATGAGAAAAATCAATGTTGGGACTAACATTTGTTCATCGGATTATAAATTTTTATATTTATAAATTTATTAAAAATAAAATTAATAGTATATAATTCGTTTATCCTGAAATTGATCATGCAAAGAAATCATCTTAATATATAAAGCATCTAGAAAGCAAATAAAATGGCTCATCTGGATTTCAATTTCCAAGGGCGTCTGATCCATATGCAATAAGTGTAATATAATAACTATAGTTGTAATTGATTAAGTTTGAATTAATATAATATTAAATTTGAATTTAAATTCAATTCAAAATTTGAAGTTCAAAATTTAACTCGAGTTCAAACTCGATCGAGTTTTATTTTTTTAATTTAAGCTCAACTCAAAATAGAAATTGAGCTATTTAAACTCGTTCGATTATACTTGATTAATATATACAAATAAGTTCGATTTTTATATTTGATAAAAATTTGATTATTTGTGTTCGAACTTGAGTTCGATATATTTTATTAATTAAAATAATAAAAATATATTTAAATATAAAGATTTAATTAGGCTCACGAGCTATTCGAGTCGAATATATAAATACTCAGACTCGACTTAATTGATAAGTCAAGTTACTCGAGCTCTAATAGAGCTAAATTTAAGTTTTATTTGAATCAAATTTGAGTAGCTTGTGAGTACTAATATATCATTTATATCCTTAAACATGATATATAAAGTAGACAAACATAGAGAGCCTTTCCTACAATTTTCCAGTTTTGTTTTTTGTTTTTTTTTGAAGAATTATTGAAATCTTTTGCTTTGATTCTTTGTATATTACTAGTGTGCAAATAATAAATTAAGTAATTTGATAATAGATAAATATAAAAATAACAAAATATGAAATATTATTTTCCAATAATGAAATAATAAATTAAATAATTTAGTCATATATAACTGTAAATATAACAAAAACCAATAATACTATTTTTGAATAATAAAATCTCTAATTCTCAGTAAAATTGATCTCTAAATAAAAAAAAAATAGTTAAAATTTATTTTCTTCTCTTAAATAATATTTAGTATAAGGTGATCACTCCAAAAACCGTGAAAATCTACACATGATGATTGGTTCACTTTGTTTGATAAACACTTAATAATCCTATATAATGATGATTTTGAATCATCGAAAGTTATTAAATTACTATTTTGAAAAATGATTTAATTTCCAAATAAAATTGTAAAAAAATTTTATCATTGAAGTGAAGTAATATGTAAAATTAATAATAGTCAATTTTACTCTTTTGATATGTGAATTAAAAACTTATTACATCTTAAAATTGTAATTATTTTATAATATAAATTTTTATATTTTCAAACTAATATTCATTATAACAAGTTCAAAATAATTTGTATTTTTTTTAATATTTTATATATAATATAATTTTTATTCTTCTTTTATTATAAATTGAATAGATTGATTATATTTTTTAATTCAAAATATTTTTACATAATTTTATATTATAAAATAAATTTACCTATCAATAAATTTTTTTATTAATTTAATAATTTAATTAGATTTTATTATGAAATAAACACATATTAATAATATTTTAAAAATTATTATCTTTAAACAATCATAAAATTATTAATTTATATAACTATTAAAATATGCATGATTATTTTCATACATTTAAACAAAATAATATTTGATTTTTAATAATACCATAAACAATGATCTTTAATTCTTAAAATTTAATCATTTTTAATAAAATAAAATGATTTTAAATCATAAATGTTAAAATCTTCTTGATAATAAAATCACTCCAATAATTATATTATTATTTTTTGGGAAGTTCTCTTTAAGAAGCTTGTAGGAGAACAAATAGAAGCTTAGAATTTGACAAAAGCTCTTTACATCTGAATTTTTTTTTCTGTTATCTGCTTTTACATTCTTTCTCATGGTGATAATATTTCAGCAATTTTTTATTAGGTTAAAGCCATTTTCTTGTGTTCTCATGTAACTTGTGCTTCTGAAAAGAAATAATGACATGGATAGATTTTTAAACAGAAGCTCCTCACGTTACGTTACATTGGAATTTAAACAGAAGTTGCAGCTTGATCATGTTTCTCTGTAACTGTTTTTCCTGGAATGAGAAGACACTTGCAGGAGAGGGAAATCTTAAAGCTTCACTTCTCTATCAAAAATCCAGCTGAATGGAATGCTGGATGCTTGCTCGGCCCTTTGTTGAGCTCTCTCCTCCAGCCTTCTGATTCTTGGAGGCAGTCCACATACATAGTCCTGAGCTTTACGCCCATCAGCTGAAAGTCCAGTCAGCTCCTGCACCTTCCATCTGTCCACTAGGTACTCTAATATATCAGCATAGTCCTTGGCCGTGTAAACCCCAAGTCTTTGGGCAACAGCTGAGAAGTGGTCGAAGAGTTTGTCGTCTCGACCATCATAGATGAACTCGGCTGGCATGGTGATTTTCTTCCTCATCATGTCAGCAAAGGCCACGACTGTTCCATCAGGATCAATCTCAAAAAGCTTTTCAACAATTTTGGTATAGGCTGTCTCATGGCGTTTTTCATCTGAGGCAATGTTACCACAAATTTGAGCCAACTTAATGTCCCCATGCTCCTTGGCAAGCCTGGCTGTATTCCCATGGGAGATAAAAGTTGCCCTTTCTTGGAATGTTGTATAGATGAATCCCAGATATGGATTATTCTCTGTATGGGGATCCTATAAATATACCGAAGAGAATTTAAAAAGATTGATCAGTTTAACACTGATGGATTGTAACTATATAAAATGGCATCTTGAATGTATGTTTTTTTTTTTAGAGTGAAAAGTAATTCAATGTCAATCATCCTCCTGAATTCCACTCGATGGTTCATGAGGACCTCATTCGGCCACTTTCTACACAAATTTTGTGAAACTCTAGAAGTGATATAGTGCCATGTTAAGATGCATTCATTCTCACAAGGTTTTAATCCAAATTAGAAGATGAAAAGAAAGAAAAAGGAAGGCATACATGACTTTATACAACTATGTGCATGGGTTTTCTCAGCCCTCCACACACAAAGAAAAACACCACCAAAAGACTGAAGTATACAGAACATAATAATTGCGCCTTAGAGACCGCAATATGCAGTCCTTAAATGAGCTACAAGGGATTCATCGAAGTCGTGCATGTCAAGTGCATAGGAGGTTTCAAAATTAAACTATGATAAGTGAATAAATTGTGTGGCAAGCATCTTACCATTCCTGATCCAATCAAATACTGGATTGTCTTCTCAATTTGCCTCATGTCAACTCTTCCAGACAAGTAGAGATACTTATTAAGTAGATCACCATGCCTGTTTTCTTCAGCCGTCCATGCCCTTGTCCAAATTGCCCAAGGAGTAAGGCTAGCACCTGTTTCGTCACGAGTTCCATCTAAGGTATTAAGCATTGTTTGGTAAGTTGGAAGGGCTTCCTCTGTGATCATATCACCAACCAAAACGACAAAGTAATCATCCGGAATCTCCTTTGCTCTTTCCCTAAGTTCTTTGACTTGCTCATCAAATCCATCAGAAGCAGGATCTGGAAGAAAATCCTGCGGTTGCCAACATTTCTCAACTGGTTTGAGGTGAATTAAAATGTTCTTCTCCGCCCAGTCCTCCAAAGATTTAAAGATCTCAATCTTCTGAGGTGGCATGGAATGGGTGACCTGAACATGCACCTCCTTAGGAGGCATGAAAGGCTTTTTGAGATTCTCAACATCTCTGCGTTAGGTAAAATGAATTTGGGATTACATTCTCATCAATCAGATATGTCAGTAAGGATTAAAAGGCAACAATAAATTGTAAAAGCACAAATCCCATCTCACAAATTTGGTTACGGATGTTCCAGATATCCGGCACAAGAAAACCATATAACAGGGTGTAATGGATTATGCAATAGCAAGGTAATGAAACAGCTTTATACATTGGCAAAAAGAAAAAACAGCTTTATTGTGTGTAACATGCACCATGGAAGTTATTAGACAACCAGACCTAATTTCATTAAATGAAGTCATTAATTCCTTGGCTGTAAAAAAGAATTCAATTTAGTGGGAAAATAGTGAAGTTTAGTGTCCCAAGCAAACCAACTTGAGGCTAAAGGAGCACATATACCATGTAGGAGATCAAATGAGAGATCAGGATGTTAGAATAGTGGGATTTAAAGTATTATAAGAAGCAACAAGGCAGCAGACCCAGTTGGGGAATTGGCTTTATATGGTAGTATGAATTGTTTATCTGATTCGATTTAAAGTAATATGGAATGCAAACTATCATTTTTTTTTTAAGTGCAATCATATAAGTACCACTTAAAAATGCTTTGGCTATCCTTCCGAAAGAAAAAAATATAAGGAAATTTCAAGATAAAATACAAAGAAAAAGTACCAAATAATTAGTAGATTAAAATGTTAACATGACATATATTCAAAGAAGTGACAGAAGCAATTTCAATAAATTGTGCCAGAAATTATAAAAGAAAATGTTTAAAAGAAGCAATCATGAGGAACTTTATTCTGTTTAAAGAACAGATCTAAAAGACCAAAAAAAGGAATGAGAACAACAGAAAACTGAGGACAACATATTCTGAACTACTTCTACCAAATGGAATATTCTTTTCAAAATACAGATTCAACCATATTGCAAAAAACAGTAACATGAAATTACTTAAAAGGGAAAAAGAGGAAAGCTATGTTACTCATCAGCATGTCTAGAGAATCTACTACTTATACCAACTTGAATTTTCTTTTCAAAGACATAGCTTCAACCATATTGATATAACATTCTCATATAGCATGGAAACCACAATCCCTCCCAAGTATAAGCAAATGCATATGCAGGGACAGGTATGGATGAAATAAAACCTTCAACATTTTCTTTTTGGAGCATAAGAAAAGGGACAAGCCCCAGATATATGTGCATAAACAAGACACCGGCAATATCCGCTGAAAGATGCACTCTTAACCTATCAGGGGATCACCACGGATATAAACTTTCAACATATTGGTTAAACTACTTATGACACCCAAAAAAAACAGGTAAAAAATGCAAAAGGTGGAAAAATGCTTTGAAAGCACACAATGCAAAGAAAGAACAAATTGGAAAATCGCAGATAGCAGATTTATCCCAAAATTGATAAGGAAAAAAAGGTCTACCTAGACAAAAAACTAAAATTGCTTTAAAAGAAAAAAGAAAAGAAAAGAAACAAAACACATCACAGAAATGGCTTCCAACGAATGCAAACACCAAAGAATAAATTCCTCTAGACAAAGTTAGTTGAGAAAGTAACTAATATCCTAGCCACCCCCAACACCAACAAACTGAAAGATACAAACAGAAAAACACTGTAAGCCTTAACATCATAGATTACAGTAAAGACCAGATAATCAATAGATGAGAAGATTCAATAAAATAAGATTTTCAGGAATAACCTATTTTCAGTTTCTTGACTTTCTCTCAAACAAAAACACGACGTGAAGCAGGAAAACCAAATGTTTGACTTTTCTTGAAAGCAGACCTCTCATACTAGAACAACAAGCCGCCCAAAAAATAAATAAATAAAAAGAAAGAAAACGTTTTCCACACTGCTTTGATTTTATATCTTTCATAGGAACCATCCAAAACACACATTAGACAAATGGACGGTGTTCCCATCACAAACCCCATGCTTATCTCACAGTCAAACCAATCTTAAATAACAACAAGGAATCCAAGTATCAAGATCAATACACTCAAGAATAAAAAAATTAAAAAAAAAAAAGAAAAGAAAAAGAAAACACCAAAGGTACCTCCACATGATAGCTAAATATAATTAAAAACTTAAATATGATACATGAAATGAACCTCTTTCTCTCTCAAAACTAATAGCACGAATGAATTGCAATGAAACACATAAGTCTAATACCAAGTAATAAAAGTCTCAATTTTAATAATGAAAATACAGACCACCCAACTACATGAAATCAAATCATAAAAAGTTCAAAAGAAAGATGGTAAACATATTCATTCCTTAAAATTTGACCAAATATTACTGAAAGAAATGTGATTTTTCTATTATTTCACCTTAATTAGTAGAAATTAGATATAAAGAAGCAATAACAACAATAAAGAGCTTTAAAGTACAAACATCTACAATAAGAAATGAACCCCATTTCAATGATTTCTAAATCAAAAGCATTATCCCCAAACAGAAAAGAACTACATTAGAGGCTATTAAACATTAAGAACATTAAGATCATAAGACATCACCACATAAAAGAGAGCTCTTAAAAACCATGGTAGTTATAAAAAATAACAAAGACCCAGATCCAAAATCAGCTACAACTAAAGAAAAGAAATCAAGATCCATGATTTAACAACAAAATAACGAAGTTATAACAATGAATAAAAAGCCAACCAAAAAAAAAAAAAAAAAGAAAGACGCTTACTTGGAGCCAGAACTAAGAGAGGACACCATGAAAACCTTGGGAGATCTGAGCCTGGCCATTGGTTGAAGGGCAAAAGAAGGAAGTTTCTGAGATTTTGAGGCAATGGGATTAAACTTCAAAGCCATTTTTTTTCCTTTTTTGGTTTTGGCTTTGGATTTTTGCTTATTTGGGAGTTTACTGATACTCCCTCTGCTTTTTTTTTTTTGTTTTGGTTTTGATTTGCAGCTTCAGTTTCCTCCACACAGAAAACGAGAGAGAGTTTTGAGTCGGTGCCAGTTTAACCCATTAGATCTACCTTTCATTTCTTATAAAGTGTATGAAAGTTAAAGAAAAAATATATGAAAATTTTTATTATAAAAAAAATATAGAGAGAATTTCAGCTTTATCCTCTCTTTGTGTAAGAATTAAATATGTATTAAATATGACTTCTAATATAAAATTGCATTTAGTTCAATGATTAAAATATTAATAATTTCATAGAAAAAAAAAACATTAATAAAAATGCAAGAGTACTTCAAATGTTCAAATCTTTTAATCAAAACAATTCATTGGTTCTCAATTTAATATGATTCATCTGATTTGATTCTTCAATACTAAGTTAATAAAATCTTTCACTTTTCTATTTTCTTTGATGTTTTACTTTTATGTTTATGTGCAAGAATATTTGGAAAAAGAAAATAGAAGGTTAAAATATTTAAAAAAATTATAAATTTTACAATCTTATTTAAATAAATTTTATACTTTTATTATATTCAAATAAATTTTTATTTTTTAAAATTTGTATATGTATAAATCTTTAATTTTTAATTTTTAATTTATTTTAAAAATTTTTAAAATTTTTAATATAAATAATTATTTCATTTGAAATAAGAATCTATGCTTATGGGGAGAGAGAATGAATCTCTTGAGTCATGTTAATTACAAAGTTAATTAAGAAATGAAAACTATTGAAGAAATGAGAGCATAGACATTGGCCTTACCTTTTACATGACCTAAGCATTGTCTATGGAAATGGTGGATGGGTTGGTTTTATTGAAGATGGAACAATGGATACAATTGTCACTACACCCAATAAGACAGCTAGTTACCAACTAACTAATAGATTAATTTTTTTATTTTAAAATTTAATTTAATTAATTTATATAATTATTTTTAAATTATAATATTTGAAAATTAAAAAACAAAAGTCGAAAGTTATTCTAATATTTATTTTTGACGAACAAATTAATAAGATAGACAAATAAAAAAGAAGGGAAAGTAAGAATATTAAAAGGAAATTTATCGATTTGTGAATTTATATTATAGAAAATATTAAAATTTTATATTTATATTATATTTTATATAAAAATTTGTATTATTATTTGTATCAATATAAAAATATAAAATATATTTTTTAATTTTATTAAATTTAAATATAATTATTATTAAAATTTTAAATTATATTTTTTTATATTTATATTTATATTATATTATTATATTATATATATTTTAAATTATCTTCCGACGAAGAAAAGGGTTACTTATCTCACCCGTGAGGTAACGAGGAATATTTATACCTGAAATGAAGTGGTAGTGCCGTCTGACTCGGCGTGGGTGATGCCGAGTGTCCTGAGGTGGACCGGTAGCTGCCCAGACAGTCAGCACGCCCACCTGGGGACACAAAGGCGCGACAAGGATCCGCGTCGACAACAGGTAGTGAGAATCTGACAGCGTGAACTGTGTGCCTCCGCTAACGATCAAATCATATTAGGTCTACCCCACCGCTAATTGAGCAAGAATGTCAAGTCGACGAAAAGACGAAAATACCCCAAACCGGCCAAAAGACTAAAATGCTCCATATTGGAAAGTACTACTCAAATATCCGTTTTGCCCTTGAGGTGCATAATGTTCACATCATACAATATCTCAACATTTTTTTAATTTTTAAATCGTTGCAATTTTTTGTAAAAAAAATATAATAATTTATTTCTAAAATAGCTTGAGAAGTAAGGGTCAACTAGCTCTATTCAGCATTTTTTTGAAAAGGCGAATTAAGTACAGTAAAAGAAGTCAGAATAAGATGGCAAGCCATTATGTAAACCAAAGTCAGAAAGAGGGTTGGGATTAAATGGTGTTGGTGCGTGGAACAAAGCTTGCATGATTAGGCTTTTATGGTCTATCTTTACACAAGCAGGCTCGTTATGGATTGCGTGGATGCACATATATGTGTTAAAGGGAAGAAGCATTTGAGAAATTCCAGAAACTCAAAGTCATAGCTGGTGTATGAGGAAACTGCTTCAGATACGAAGTCTTGAAGCAAATTTCTGACACAAGCAGATACTGGAATAGTTTGGAATAATAAACGTTCTAGCTACTCGACTGCAAGTGCGTGGGAAGAAATAAGAGAAAGGCAAATGAAAGTAAATTGGCATAGGCTTGTCTGGTGTAAATTTCTCATACCAAAGTATGCTGTAATTACCTGGATGGCCATTCTTGATAGGCTCCCAATGAAAGATCGACTGGTTTATTGGGGAATTCACACTGATGGGGACTGTGTACTCTGCAAGCAAGAGAAGGAGAGCAGTGACCACATTTTTTTCAATTGTAGATACTCTAAGAGGGTATGGCAACAGGTACTGCACCTGTGTAATTTACAGAGAGAAGCTGAGGGATGGGAGAATGAGCTTCAGTGGACAGTTAGTAGGCTACGAGGGAAAGCTTTGGTCTCCGTCATGCTATGACTAGCGTGGGGGGCGTACAGATACTGGATTTGGGCAGAAAGGAATGCACGCATACACAAGTCAGTGGAGCTCACAATGGAGCAAATATTGAAAAAAATCAAAGATGTAGTTAGATTACGATTAATTGGCCTAAAAAACATAGCTTATGATCATGCTAACCAAAAACTATGTGAGAGATGAGAGTTGAGTAGGGACTCATTTGTGGTGTAAAAAGTTCGACAATATGTAATTGTTGGTTAGTAGCATTTCTACTGCTCCTTGGATAATGAATAAAAATTACTTATCCAAAATATAAAAAAAAAAAAGATTGTCTTTTGTAATTTAAACGTATGTACTTTCTCTTTTTTGTTTGTATTAAGATTCTAAAGACCGTCAAAAGTTAGATGTAATATTTCCAGGTGAAGTTTATCAAAATCTCAGAGCTGCTCCAGCCACCTTTGACAGCAAAAATATCTCTTCCAATGGAGTTCCTGTACAAAGATATTCAAGTTTTTCACTTAGTTCAATTACAGGAGCACCTAATGTCTTTGCTCAAACTATCGTTTCTTATCAAGTGCTGAGAGCAGTAAAATTTTCATTCTATATTATAAAATATAACTTTCAGGAATATATGCAAGCTTAAAATTAATCAAAAGATATATAATCGGTTGATAAAATATTAAACTTTTAGTTTCATTAATTAGCGATTAAATTTTGATAATTTTAAATATTAAAAAAATTAAAAACTAATATGATTATTTCCATAAGGCATATTCTACTGTTTAGTATAGATATAAATTTTCATATTCTTACCATCATTGGTTATAATTTGAGCCTCAACAAGCTTTGGGATATGTACTGTTAGGGGCAAGCAAGCTGGCCAAACCACGACTGCTCCGATTCCCATCTTCTTAGCCACTTCTAGTGCTCATCCAACTGATGTTTCAGCTATAACACATGTCATCTGCTCTTTGACATTTGACTGGTTCAGTTTCAGAATCAAGTCCTCCAAATGACCTAGCATTTAACTCTTCCTATGCTTTCTGCCACCTTAACTAAAAACATCAACCCTCAGGAATTGAAAACAAGGGTTATCAGGCTTTGCTCCTTATCTTTCTCAGGCACTGAAACCATAAAATTTTTCATGTAAGAACTTTGTATTAACACCTTGAGCAGCAATTTGGAGGGACAATTCCATGAGAGGCGCTACTTGGCTGCATGCCTTGTGCTATATGATATAACTAGTACATGCAGCAGCAATTGCCTGCACATTGCTACATGCTTACTAAAAAACTTAACACTGTTTATGAGATTATCATCAAGTTTACTGCCTTTACTAAGGACTAACATTCTAAGTGCCTTTCCTTCTTGTTCTCTTATCCTTTGTCTCTTAACCTATGTGAGTCCATTGTAAAATACAAGGTACTTCTACCAAAGGTAGATGAAAAAAATATATGAAAATAACACAATTAAAACTTTTAGCAAAAAACGTATACAAGTTTCAGAAAAAATTGAAAAAATATATGTTTCGTGTTTGACGTATTCACACAAATTATACCATGATAATTTTCATATTTTATATGTAATTAACATGAAATAGACACGATACGGATATACAAATTATCTAATATTGACATGAGTTGAACAAACAGAGGATAGCTTTAATTTAGGTACATGTTTCCACGATATTCACTATGCATACACGACATTCTTTATCTTTCTTCATTTTGGAGCGTAGTTTATGCACTTTTACTTGATGCTGCATTGCTTCCCTGTCAGAAGACGGCAGTGGTAGATTTTAATGATGAAAAGGGCTATATATCTTTTTTTTTTTTTGTTTCCTTTTGAAGTGTTTGATGAAGAAGTTTCAATTGGATGACTAAGTCTTGATGAAGGTAACTATTTCTCTTAAATCTTTCTTGCAAAGTGCTAAAGTTGGATTTGTAACCAAATAGTATATTAAGAGGAAAAATCAAAAGTTTAAGCTCTTTCTTTAAATTAAAAACTAAAATTTTATTAAAGCTTCATCATGCATGATTGTAGGACCAAACCTGAGAAACAAAGGAAAAATCATGCCATAGGATGACAGGAAAGTGCAAGCTGAATCTCCAATATGATGTGCAGTACTTATACAAGATCTTCTAGATTTGTTTTGACTTCAAAAGTTTTTTCCAACAGCAAGAACAAAGTACAGCAGATTCTGTATAAATTTCAGCCTTACAGGAAGGAGTGAATGTGAAAAGTGAAAAATACTAAAATCATGGCATGGTATAGAACAACATTTCCGTTCCTTGAAAAAGAGTTTACAACTAAGATTAATCAAGCAGCATAAAGTTTTCTATTATTTATTTGTAACGCCTCAACGGATAAGGATTCATTATGATATATATATGTAGAGACTTAGACTCATACTTATGAATGTGTTTTATGAGATAAAACTGCGAGATTTTCATATCAAAACGGATAATATCTCACAGGTTAGATACAGATTAAAGTGTTACATTATCTAATTCTCATGTTTGCATCAAACATATTAGTCTGGCCTAGATATTCTTTATCTGGTTAATAAAGCTCTGAAAATTCTTGAAAGAAGACCCACCTTCATTGACACTTTTTCTAGCCAGCTCCTTTAGGTGCAGGGCTTTCGCTTTTATAACATCAGAAGAAAGCAGTGCTTTTATCTTTGTACTAATTTCCTGCCTTGTTATGAGTCCATTTTCATCTTGGTCCAATCCTAAACCATTCCTCCAAACTTCACAAATATATCTCTTATTATGTAACTGATCTGTGAAGCAAGGCCAAGATAGGAAGGGTACCCCCTGGCTTAAACCCTCCATGGTTGAATTCCATCCACAATGGCTCACGAAACAAGCAACAGAAGGGTGAGCCAACACATTTTCCTGAGGCGCCCATTCCACAACTTTTCCATGATCAGCTACTTTTTCTATGAATCCTTCTGGGAATTCAGTGAGTGATCCATTTGAAAGGTTGGACCTGGCTACCCATAAAAATGGATAGCCAGTGAGTTCAAGCCCAAGTGCCAGTTCATCTACCTGTTGTTGGCTAAACCTTCCTGTGCTACCAAATGCAACATAGACAACAGATCCTGCAGGTTGCTTATCTAGCCAGCTTAAGCAAACTGAATCCTCAGGCCAAAAGTTTCCAGCAAAAGCTCCCGTATGGTTGCTGGCATATAATGGACCTATGGGTAAGATGTTGGGAATCAATTTCAAGGCTGGTGGGTCTAGTTCATAAAATGTGTTGGAAAGAATCACGTTGGTAAATCTGACAATTTTAGGGAAGGAATAACAAAGTCCAAATATAGCTTTCTGCATTTCTAGATCATAGCTATTCCATGGAATATCAGACCTGCTCCAGGCAGGGATTTCATTTGATAATGAGATTGCTTCACCTTTCACTAGAGTTCCTGCGAAGTTCAAGTTATTCTATCTGGTCAATCTTTTGAAAATTACCAAATAAGTATAATGTTGGCATTTTCAGCTCAAGTACAAAATACAGTTTCTTTGCGTTTTTATCATGTAATACATTGTAAACTGTATAGTATTAAACCAGAAAACTCAGGCATATATCATACTTACATTTAAGTTGCATGAAGCCTAATTACCACTCTTATATTGATTGTTCCAATGGGTAATTTTGAGTTTTTCCCACAAGTAACTTGGTTGCCTTAATTATACTTATATATCTAAAAGACCTCCGATTTCTTTTTATGCAAAGATAGCAAAGTGGACATAACTCTTACATTGAGAGTTTATCACTATAATCTTGTGTGTTTAATTTTTCTTATACTTGTTTAATTATTGCTTTATGGGAAAAAAAAATTGATCTTAAAACGAACAACAGAATCATTTCATGAAGTACATGTACAGTTAATTAGGAATGTTGCCAAATTCTTACCATCGTTATCCACAATTCCTGCCTCGATAAGCTGTGGAATGTGAAGTGAGAGGGCCAAAACTGCTGGTCCAGCAACATGAACAGCAATTCGCTCGATTCCCATTTCCTTGGCCACTTCCAGTGCCCACACAGCCACTGTATCAGCTAAAACACAAGTGATCTGCTCACTGGAATCAGACTGGTTTATTTCCTCAATCAACTCCTTCAATGCACCCGGCATACCTCTCTGTGCCATTTTTGTGAAGTTGACAGAACCAACCCTAGATTCTAATGCATCAGGAATTGAAACGAGACTTATCAGGCTTTGCTCTTTCATGTCTGCCGATACCGAAGCCATAATTCTTTCATGCACGGATTCTGAATTAACAAATGTGACTTTCACTCCATGACCAGCAATTTGGAAGGACAACTTCATGAAAGGAGCTACATGGCCTTGTGCTGCGAGGGGTACAACTAGTACATGTGGTTTTCTAGCCATGGAATAATGCTCACAACTTATGCAGACTTGCTTGCTTTTGCTCTTAACCTGCAATTCAATTATTTATGCTTCCTGTTTAGCCAAAGTACTGATATCTAGCTTCCTATTTTCAATTGCTTAAACTTATCCGGTAGTCAAATCGTCAACAAATTTACTCTGTCTTCACATAGGAGTATGTTGTGAGTGTCGTCTTTTCTTGTTCTATGTGAGTTATTGTTTTCTTTAACCTGTATTTTTCTTGTTGTAAAGATTAAAGCAAATACGGCCACTGAAAGCTTCTTTTCCAAAAGGAAAATTGTTTACAATGTAAAGCTAATTTTGATGATTTGTAATCTTGACTTTTTGTTTAACAAGTGGAGGATAAGTTTATAATCATACATGCTTAGCACTTGGCTGACTCCCTTTACAAAGGAATTACTATACGTTGACCGTCACGTCGGAAACAACTTAGACTTTGACCTCGACAGGTGTTAGTTTTATCAACGTTTATGAGATATCAAAAGGCAAAATCGGACTGAGCAGAGATGCGCACTCCCTATTCTCTCTGCCTCCCTTGACCATGCTCTCTCTCTCTTGGTCCTCTTTCGTGCATTTGAAGCAGGGTCATTCGAGTTATTTAAAATCAATTAATTAAATAAAATTAAATTAAATTATTTTTATTAATTTTAAAAATTAATCAATTGAATTTAATTTTTTCGATTTAATTAATTTTTTAATTAATCAAACAATAAATATATTTAAATTAAATTATATTTTAAATTCTTAATTTTTTATATTTTAAATAAATTAAATAAAATTATTTAATAAAATATTCAAACATCAAATTATTGCGATGAAAATTTTAACAAATTATAAAATTAAATGATTCATTTTATATATTTTTTATTTTATATTTGAATTATATTATATTTTAATTAAAATTTTGATTGATTCGATTAATTTAATTTTTAAATTGAATTAATTCAAATTTAAAAAATTTTTAAAATCATTTTTGTTTATCAATGGAAACTAATTTAATGACTAATAAATTAATTAAATTAAATAAACAATCAACCAATTAATTCAATTAAAATCGAATTATGAACGCTTTTAATTTTGAAAAAATGCATCCCAAAATACAATCTCCTCTCGTGTACATCGCTGATTTAAACGTTGAAATTCATCCCAAACTATTATCTTGGACACCATGAACATCAAAGTGTAAAACAAAATATCCCAAAATACTATCTTGGACACCATGTTGACTTAAACGTCAAAATGCATCCAAATATATTATCTCCGACACCACATAACTTCTCTCTTCGTGACAGGTATCGTTTGCCTCTTACTCTCAACTTTCAGCAAGCGCCTCGGCCATCAGATCAGAAATTACATCAACAGGTATTAAGAAAATAATGGTTTTTGATTTGCATTGCATCCAACACTTTAAACCCTGCGGATAATCTTGATACAGAACGTGTTTTCTTTTTTTTTTTTTTTTTTTTTGGGTCAGAAGATACGGAACAAGTTGGATGATAGGAATTTTTTAGTTATGATAATATATGATATTAATATTACAAGAAATGTTTTCAAGATTTTAAACTTCATGAATATACTTTAATTTCAGTGACTCCTACATCTGATATTCCTCACTGCTGATACTCAGATTATCTTTTCCTATTTTTGAACTTTTTGCTGCTTACAGTTAGTTGATTCAAGACTTTGGCACATCCATATTGTAAACATCACAGAATCAATTCCCAAACCCCAACCCCTCTCAGTCTTAGAGAAGAGCAGATGAGAAAGGTGTCCAACAAAAAAATAAAAACCCTTTACTTATGAATGGAACCCATCCGAAGGCTTGATATAAATACACTTAATTACCTGAATATTCAGCAATCTGTTGAAAAAATCTGAATGAGCTTCTGTTCTCCCCATTTACCCAAAAATCACGAGGCACCACCCCACCTCACTTAATCTCAAGATTTTCAAACAAGTATACAAGGACCAACTTATATATCTCAAGAATGACATCAATGGCCTACAATGAAAAGATCTAAGTGCCTCCGTTGCTTTATGGAGACATTCCTCTCCTACATTTCCATTTGTGTGGTTCAATTATGAGCAAGTGCCAATATTTAAGTAGGAAGAAATTGGACCAGAGAAGCATGAGGGATAAGAAGACAATTGGCCAAAAAAGAGGGAAAAATCAATTAATTAATGATCAAAGTGAAAGACATTGTACCCTATCAGGGAGATTCCTAGGCATCGGTATTGCAGTAACATATCTCTGGGGAAAGAATTTTTGAGAACTAGCAATTGCATCAGACGACGATGTGGTCTCAGCCCCGTCCGCTTGCCCCCGGCAATGGAACTTGGCAAATCGATTGATGACCGAAAACTTCTCTAGTTCCTGACACTCCACTCTTAAGTCCAAGATTGAGGCTCTCTTGTCCAGACTGCATAACAAAGAGGAAACATTAGAAGATATGGCAGTTGGCATAATCATGACAAGAGCTTAGGGTAAAACCAATAATGGAGGCAGCATTGGGAACCAAAGGAATGAAAAAAAAATCTAAAAAGTAAACATATAAAGTGAGGCACAATCTGGCCCCGAACAATATCTTACTTCCATAGTTATGCACATCAATGCAAAAAATCTGCTTTAAATCAATGCAATGGACTAAAACACTATTTTTCCAAAGCTCAAAGCAAACACTCAATTGCAACTTAATAGCAGTTTGCATCCTCTAAATAGCACCATTACAATCAGACAAATTACCTTTAGCGCCCTGCAGCTTTTAAAAGTTATTTTCGTAGTTAAACTAGTATTGATCTAAAAGTCATTACCTTAATTCGATCATATATAACAAGCAACTTTACATACTTGAACAAGTCAGAAAACAACACTCTACAGATAACATGTATTCATCTAAAAGTCACTACTTTAATTGGGTCCTAAAACCAAGCAACTTTACGTAATTGAATAAGTTAGAAAACAACACGCTAAAGATAACATGTTAGAAGAACAGTAATTATCATGCAGTTAAAAATCATCTTCTCTGATTCTAATTAAAATGAAGGTGTATAATTTTATGATACATTAGAAACACATATCAGCCCGAGCTTTCAATATGCAGAATGCTTCCCAATGTCAAGTCCAGGATCATTGAGCCTATGCAGTGAAACTATTAAGAACAAAAATGGAAACCAATACTATCCATGGACGTGACAAGTAAATCCTTCTGTGTGATTCTGCTCAGTTAAGAGCCAAATCAGCCTCATTACCAATAAATTAACTGATACATGACAACTTGACACATCCATGAGACAACGATATAATCAAACTTAATGGGTGATCTGTGATGAGACAACAATATAAACAACATAAAGTAGACAGAAATATTATGCATAAAAGATATTGGTAAAAAATCGATGTGAGTTACCTCTGTAAATCGTTCTCCAGCATCTTTGCTCTGATGATAAACTCTTCTGAAGCCTTTAAGATAGACTGATTTCTCTCCTCCTTAAGCTTTTCAGAGAGGCTAAAAGCAAATTAACAAAAATATATTATTAGTAAGATAGAAGGCTTACTGACAATAATGATCCCCAAATGAGAGCCAATAAAAACAGGATTCAAGGATTTCTAACATAATGAACAAGTTCTTACATGCTTCCACTGTCAGAAGGAACAACTGTATCACTTTCAGGTATATATGCTGTGCTGCATGCATCTCCTAAGACTGATCTGGCAACAAAATAGGCCACAGTCTCGTAGTTTTTGCTAGCATCTGCAGAAAGAACTACTCTTGGAGGAGCATGAAGTAGTTGCTGCATAAGCTGTGTTGTCAAGATAAGCCTTCTTTTTGATCTAAGCACTGGCGGCCAATCTTCAATCATTTCAGGTTCATCTTCTACCTGCAATTAAGATCAATGTCCGTAAACTGAGAATTGTTGGAGTTCTAAGAAGGAATAACAAAAGATCAAAGACAGTTGACACTGAACACACCTTCTCAATCAATCGATTTGCTGCATGAGCCCATTCCACCTCTGATGCACTGTGATCAACAAAAAGCTTCAATGTAATTTCAAAAGTAGGAAAAAAATGACGATAGTGAGACGAGTAGAACTTGTTTTTGCATTTTAGCAAATTATTATTTGAAAATGTTTTAGTGCTTTTGGTCATTGATACCTATACTGTTAAAAATGATTGCAGCAAACGTGATATTTATTCCAATCACCTGATGTTCTGAGGCCTTTGGGAACCCTGTGTCACCTCTCTATGCCATGGTAGAAGCTCAAATGTCATACTTTTACGCTTCTTTGATCTCAAAACAACTAATTTCTGATTTGTGATATCAGGAGGCAGCAAATGAGGGGAGATAAGCTCACTTGCTATTGGCATAAGGTTTGAGCTTTGCTCGGCATTTTCCAGCAGACAAGCATCTGCAGCAGCATTAACCTGCTCACTTGAATGAAGAGCATGCAAACTGTCAGAAGGTCTACCAAAAATGAATGATTCCTTCATCATGGCAATTTTCTGAGCATCATATATAGGCAACATTTTCCCATTTTTAAATGTCCCATATCGATCAAACCAGGATGGAGCCATCTGGGGACTGATCTGAGAGTGTTCACCCCTGGGATTAGCAGCTGAATTATTATCATTGGAGAAATTTTGGGAATCATTCCGAGCAAATGCCAGCATATCATTAGCTGATAACTGTGTCTCATGGTTATCTCCAGTGCTTGATGAAAAGCTTACCATCTTAGAATCTCCAGAAGGAACTAAAGGCCGATTAACTGGGGCATCTCTCATCATAGTATTGGATCCATGAGATAACTGCTCTGCACCTTGGGAACTTATGTGCTGAACATCCAAACCAGAGTCTGGATTTGGAACTTTAAATCTTTGGTCACTCCTATTACTGGGATCAATCTCTGTATTTTTCATGGCCTGCACTTGATGCAACAATGAATAGTTCTTATGTACAGCATTATTTGGTCTTAAAGAACGGCCAAAAGCTTCAATGTCTCTTTGCATGCTTGTAGGATTTTGGCTGGCATCATTCTCTGGCAACACCTGCTGGGCTTTTGCCGGTTGCTCTTCTCCAACAAAGCTCTGTGGTTTAGGAGAGCCCACAGGTAACTCAGATTGGCCACTCCCTCCTGCCCACGCAAGTTGATCATCTAGCTTCTTTCTTCTAGGAAGAGTTGTTTCCAAGTTACTATTTGACTGTTGATGGGGCTTCAACAAATTTTGCAAGGCCTGAGAAGACTGTGCACCTAATAGATGTTGTGGGGCTGAGACATTAGTCCATACATTGGGCATTTTCATAAAAAAACCTTGTTGCGAAGATTGGGAAGGTTGGGAAGCTGGCATAGCCTCCAACACTGGAAACTGCTTGCCAGGATCCCTAGCATGGTTTTGGTAGCTACTTCTTGGCCGAGAATTCTCGGAAGAAGCAAGGCCATTATCTGGAGCAGTTTTGGGTATGCGAGATGTTGATTTGCTTCCTAATTGACTAGTTTGAGCTCTCTCAGAAGAGTCATCAGTCTGCTTTGACTGAGATGCCAACCCACCAAAAGGTGCATTGATAGATTCATTTTGTGTTACCTGAATACCCACACCAGTAACATGCTGGCTTTGAAGATGACTTTTTAAATCAGGATACTCAGAGGCAAAACCTGCAGAAACATTGCCCTGGATATTATATTGTGAGCTTTCATTGCTGATTTGACCAGAAACACTTGAAACATTATTCCTAATATCTCCATGGGATGGAGTTGATGACTGAACAGAAGCTGTTGGATCCAACCATGTATGACCCTTCCTTCCCACCTCAGAAGAGACATGAATTGAATTCAGAGAATTAACTCCTTGTGGAGAACTCTGAGATGAAATTGCACGATCAGGAATGGTAAACCTCTGAGATGGCGGACCTAGTTGTAAACCAAAACCTTGAGATGCAGATGGCTTATTATGCCGAAACTGGCCTACTGATCCATCAGAAGTTTCTGCATCTGGCATTTCAGATGATTGATTGTGTTCAGAAGAGCTTAAGCGTGTTGCAGTACCATGTTCCCTTGGCTGATCAACCTTTTGAAGAAGCTCCAGCATATTTTGTCTGCAAAAATTTTGATTATTCAGAGCACAACAAAAAGTAAATAAGGAAACCAGAACAACAGTAATAATAAGGAAAGTAGTAGTCGGCATTACCAAATAAAAATCAGATTTCAAATATCAATATGATGATGAATAAGTTTTTACTATCATAGTTCTAACAACCCAAAAGAATATTTCTTACAGCTAAGTTACATCAACAATAAAAATAAAGAAAAAAAATAAATTAAAGTCAAGCTAAAAATTGAGAACTACAAATATTCATCTACCTAATTGGAGCTGTCTTGTTTGGCACAAAACCACCAAAAGATATCTCAGGTGCAGAACCAGGATTTGAGCTTTTGGAAGGCACCTCTTCTACTTGAATGCGAGGAAAACAACCCTAATATACAGAAGAAAGTTTATAAAATAATGTTTAGTCTTCCAAAGGCTTATATTATTCTAAAAATAAAGTAAAATTCAGCAGGGATAAAGAGGATAGAGAGAAAAAGAGTTAGCAATTTCACACTATTTACATATATGATCAGAAAAAGAAAATAACCTTCTCAGTTTCTGTCGACTCTCCAGCAGCATGACCAGTATATTTTGACTGCCCAAAAAATCCTTGGTCATGACCTTTCAATCCTTGAGAAACACGTTGGGGTATTGCCTGCATATGTGATACACTTTTTGATCCACAAGAAGGTTGAACCTCGAAATCCAGATCCCCCATAGGATGATACTGAAATTTACGGGTTGCAGGAGGTTTATGATTAACATGAACAAATGACTTCTGTTTTCCTCCCCGTGGATCATTTGCATCCAGCCAGACATTGTCTCTAATGCCACTAGTGGAGGTATGGTGAGATAAGTTAGAGCGAAAACTGTCATTTGAAGTGTCTTTGACATTGGGGCTCTCCAACAAATTTGCTTCAGACACTCCCTTCTCCAGGCAATTATTTCCAGATGAATCGAAAGTTTGAGGGCTCTTATCCCGATTTTGATGATATTTTGCTGGAACCCTGCTTAGTCCAGAGTTTACTTTAGAATTAATACTTTTCCATAGAGTAAGATTATGATGGTTTGGAAGTTGCTGGCTGCTTTCCTTGGTGACCCTTGTGGTTTTTGAATCTATTATTGCAGCAACATTATCCAGACCAGAACCTTCCCTATTCACCTGAGGGCTTCCCAAGCCTGAATTTCCATTCCCTGATTCAATATTTGCATCAGGAACAGGATAATCAAGACCAGAACCATGACCTCTTTCCTCATACATGGAACCTCTGTGATCACTATTCTGAGAAAGTTGTAATGAGCTTTCAATATCCTGACTTTTTGATATGGCACCACTGCTATGTGATGCAGACTCAATGAAGTTCCAACCATTTGGCTTATTGTGAGGTTGACGAAGAGGATCATATGTGGCTATGCCTTGATGACCTGAAATGCTCTTTGCACTTACTTGCACATCAGGACTGTGAGCAACACGTCCAACGAGTTGAGCACTTTCACCTACAGGCTTTTGTAGAGGACTGCGATCTAACCATTTGCTTCTTTCTTCTGTTAATTGTTGAACGAATATCTGAGATGCATCATTATGCATTCTCCCGGTCTGTTCATTTGCAGCCTGGACTCCTGATTGCTGAACCCCAGGAACACTACAAAAGTCAAGATTGATATTGGTATCAGTAGACATGGGAAAAGGTATAGATTTCAGTGTCAAGGCATTCTGCAAGTTGTTATCCGCCCAAGCTGATTGCTGTTTGCTACCATCATTGACATTTGATGCTGACATGTTTCCACTTGGTGGTTCACTATTCTGCACACCCAAACCACTCCACTCTTCCTGTACCCCTATATCATTACCGGATGTTTCTGCTACAGCAGACTGCATAAGAGCACTCCAACTTCCACTTTGCAGAGAAGGAAATGCCCCAAAAGGGTCCGAACCATCCAACACTGAACCCATGTTGGCACTCTTACCAAACATATCCCACACACTGTCATCTGAACCAAACAAAATCTTTTCTTCAGTTGGATCTAACGTAGCCACATTCTGGGAAGAGGCAGCCTGAATTACTGACTTCTCCAGGGAAGTTTCTGGCAGAGCAGGAGGCTCTTGCCTCCCACGAGACTCCTGCATCACTGCATTTTTTGGCTGGATAGTCATTTGCTGCAAATTTTCTGAATGAAATACATTATTTAAACCTTGACCAGCTGCAGCCCCAAATACATTTTTACCCTGATCATCATTTCTAGAAACCAAAGTTCCATCTTGCAAGCCAACTTGATCTGAAAACATAGCATACTGATTCCCTGGAAAGGAATTACCGCTGGCTGGCACCTGCTGCATTAAAGGCTTATCCATTTGGACAGAAGAATATTGATATGGATTTCCTCTTGCACCACCACTAGAGATCCCATAAAATGATTGATCAACTTGTTGGGGAACCAAACCCATCAAATGCACCTGGCCTTGATCAGGGGAAAACATAAATCCACCAGAGGATCCCTGAATGGCTGGTGAGGCACCATGCTGCACCCAATTTGCATTTGGTGCCACGTGCTCAGGCTGCCGGGAATAATTTGAAGTATCATGGATAGGAACACCATTGATTGGAGCTGGAGAAAGGCTATCGGGCACCTGTTTAGCAACAGAGGAGACCTGATTCGCAGAGCTCAACTGCCTTGCTTCTGGTAGCTGAAACTGTGTCTTTGGAAGCTGTTGTCTCTGTAATTCTTGCATTTGCTTAAGTATAGTATGTTGCTGTAACAGCTGCATGTCAGTCATCCCTGATTGCTGCCTTGGAAAAGGCTGGATCATGCCAGGATGCTGTCCACTAATTTGCTGTTGCCCTCCAAAAAAGTCATAATTTACGTGTGGTTCAATAGATTCCAACCTCAATGAATTTTTCTTAAGAAGATCAGGACCATTTCCTATCTGTGAATCAAAAACTGATAAGTCTCTAGATGCTGTATCCAATCCCAAAAAGTTTGTTTCATTCTGCCTTGTCTGGAAAGCCTGATGCCCTTGCATATAGCCATTTGCAATTGGTGATTGGTTTTGCGATTGACTTCTGGCAATTTCAGGACTTGGACCTGATTGAGTGAAGTTCAGCCCATGCTGCAGGCTTGAAGACTGACTACTATGTCTTCTGTCAGACTCTGTTATTGCCAAAAGAAAATATAACAATGTCAACTAAACAGCATTTTAGAAGCATGTAACAACCATGCACTAAAATCTCATTCCAATAATTGTTGTAACAGACGCAAGTAGAAACTAAACAATCAAGATGCCTTAATTATTACCTAATTGATGTGAACTGAAATTCTTCAAACCAGAAACAAGAGGTTCACCAAGTTGTCTCTGGCTTCCAACCCACAGATTGTTACTTAAGCCAGGCCAGGTACCATCAATGACCTGTGAGTGATGCTGGCTCTGGGACAAACTCTCTTTGCCAAGGAAATTATGGATCCTGTCTCCAACTTCGTTGCCAGGCATAGATAATCCAAGCCAAAAATATTCAGCACTAAAATTTTGTGGGAATAAAATTGCTACCTACAAGAAATAAGAATTTAAGTTTTCACATGCCTGCAATTCCATTACAGAGCACACAATCATACGAACCCTTCTTTAAATCCAATTGCAATTAGAAACAAACCTCTTCCGTACATTTAAAAACTCACCCCAGTTGCCACGTTTCAAAACTCAATCTTATCCTGCATGCATAAAACCCATATATCATCTCTTCATGGAAACAAAAGTTGGAGCAACAATTCCACCTCTCTTCTCTTCATTTGGGAAGGGAAAGTGTGGTAACAAGTATAAAAATGTCAAAAAAAGGGTTTTCCAGCAAACAAATCAAATAGTAGCATGTCACAGTAACCTAATATTCTTCAATACAACTTATTGGGTACAACAAATCCTGATACTTCGTAAACCATATAAAATTTAAAAATTAATCTTTAAAATTCGAGGGTGTTCTTAATCTTGGATTATTAAAATGACAGTCACACTTCTTCAATACCACATGCAACCAATTTTTGTTGACAATATGAAAAGCACAAGGACTTGTTCTCATCAAATTTATATGTATTTGGTTCTTGGGCAATGAAATTATATTTGGCATTTTAAAATGGTATGTATCAAAGTTGACATAAACATACCCTGCATCCACACTATTGATTGGAAAGCCATTGGTGATTTATGCTGCTCCTTCATTCTTATGTCAAATCTTGATATTAGTTTGGCAAGGCAAAAATAGTGTCATGTTAGAATTACTTTAATTTGGAGGAAAAATAGAGAACTAGTTTATTAACATTCATTTTTCCCTCGCTTAGTAAAGCAGAAATTCTTGATGTATATTTTTTTGTCTTCACCTAGTAGTTTAAAAAAAAAGGGGTGCCATAAAGATAACTTCCATTCTCTTGTATAAAACTTCTATATTATCAATAGTGCATCACAATAATGTTGTTTAAGATGTTTTTCCTTTGATAGAAAATTAATATCTCCCATTTCCTTGTATCATACCATACACCCTAAATGGTGCATCCAAATAATGTAGATTAAGAAGGTTCTTTCTTCAAGAAATTATCTTTTGAAATTCTATTCCCAGGGATCATTGCCAAATACCAAGCATCTTCCATAAAAAATTATGACTCAAATTAGTCATCTTAAGATTCCCAAAGAAAAGCCTGCATTTACATCCCCTCAGGATTTTATCATCATCCATATTAGATATATAATAGGTAATTGAAAAACTTCATAACTTACAGTATCCAAGCTTTCAACATTGAAGCCCATCTATATGCTTAGCAGAAATTTCTCCAAGGACAATCCAAGGAGGGCATTAACTTTATTCACAGTTAACTCTTAAAATTTGTAATTTTTATAATTCCATACGTCATAACAAGAGTAGTGATGAGCATCCAGCTCTTAAATACACGGGCCATAAGCTAAAAAATTGATTAGCTATTAAAGAGTAGATGATCTTCCAACTCAAAGACAACTCAAGCTAAGAACTTAAATATCTAGATAGAACAGCTATGCTTCAACCTTAAGGACAAGCAATAAGAGCTTCCATGAAACATTGCATCATAGCCTCCCGTCAAAGTGCAATATTTTTGGTAACAAATAATGATGAAAAGGTCTTATGCGTGCCAAAAGTCGATTAAATTCCATCTAGGCCTCAACACAAAGATATAGAACGAAAGGAACAAGAAGGATCTCATGAAACATTTACTAAGACAAACAACAACAACAACAAACTAAGCCTTATATCCCATAACTCTAGGATCGGCTATATAAAAAACCAAAGAACCCTCTTAGGTCATAATTTTGAATCTTCTTGCACCACTCATTTATATCAAAAGCAACATTTTCATCTACTTCCTTAACCTTCATATCATTTCTTATTACTTGCATCCACATCTTTCATGGTTTATCTCTAGAAGTTTTGGCCTTTCCCAAATCCAAAAGCTCATTTCTCCTAACTAGTGCACAAATAGGCCTATGTTTCACATGTCCAAAACATCTCAAACAGCCCACTCTTATCTTTCCTTAATTCGGACTAGCCCTAATTTTCCTCAAATCTTTTCATTTCTAATTTTGTCTCTTCTAGTCTTACCATTCATTTTCTTCTTATGTTCTTTCTTAACAACCTAACACTCAATCCCATAAAACAATGCAGACCTTACAATTGTCTTATACAACTTCGCCTTTAACTTTAAAGGCATGTTGCAATCACATAACACACCCAACGCACTTTGCCACCTTACCCATCCTGCTTGAATCCTATGATCTACATCCCTTTCTATCTCAGCATAATTGATTCCAAATATCGAAAATGACTACTCTTTAGTACTACCTCACCATCCAACTTAATTACACTAGCACTCATTTCCCTATGACTACTAAATTTACATTCCAGATATTCAGTTTTAAATCTACTCAATTTAAAGCCTCGAAACTCCAACATATGCCTCTATAGTTCGAATTTTGCATTAAGGTCATCACTAGTTTCAACAACTAAGATTATATCATCAACAAATAACATATCTTGGATATGTCCAACGAGCTCATCCATAACTAATGCAAAAATAAATGGACTTAGTGCTGAGCCTTGATGCAATCCTGAGCAGGGATTCAAATAACGGTGCTATAGCGAAAAAACGGCTGCAAAATTGTGGTAGCGCCACCACCCGCCACCACTATCAAGGAAAATGTGATTGAGAAATTTAATCATACTCAAAACAGTGTGTAACGGCCACTGAAAAAGGGTGTAACGGAGAATAGCGGCAATAACAGACTGTTATTGCCGCTATCCAATTTTTTCATCATTACACATTAAAAAAAAAAAAACTTTCACACTTCAACCCAATCTACCAAGATTCTCAAACATCAGAATAAAACAACTAAGATTGCAAAAGCAAAAGTAAAAACAAAAGCTAAAAGAAAAGATAACTCAGTCAGTCAATCTCATTCTCATATTCTCAGTTTCAAAATTCGTCTAAAAAACCTTAAAAAACAGTATCAACTATCAATCATTCAATCAACAACTACCCAAATTCAAATCAACCTCAAATCCTCAATCAACAATCAAAATCAAAGAAGGTAAGATGAAATTAAATTACCTGTTTTATTTTTTTTGTAAAATTTTTGTGGAATAATGTTGATCTTTTTGTTTGTAAGACTCTAAGTGAGAGAGACGAAGGTATATGAGAGAAAGAGATGCAAAAAAAAAGAGGAGTTGGTTGCATTGATTTGAGAGAACGACCCCATGAAAATGGTTGAAGATGAACTGAGAAAATTTTGGGGGAAATTTGGAGACTGTTTGAAAGAGAATCGGGGAGTGGGGTGGGGTCTTGGGTCTTGTCTCAAATAGGGTGGTGGGTGGGGGAGTGGGATTGGGTGGGGTGTGTTGGGGGTAAGGTGGGGGCGGTGGGGTGGGGTGCATTAGGGGCAAGGTGAGGATAGGTGGTTTTTATTTAATTTTATAATTAATTTTATTAAGATATAAATTTAAAATTTTGTAATTTTTAAAATTTTTTTAGATAAAATTTAGTTAGAGGGATTGAGATTTTATAATTAAAAAAATTAAGAGATTAATAATTTAATATGATATATATAGGGATTTAGATGAAAAATTTTAATAAATTTTTTTGTATAAGTTAAATGAAAAATAATTAAAATTAAATACTATATTTTGATTTTATTATTTATTAATTTATAATTTTATATTTGAAATTTAATAATTTTTTTGTTGTTTTGGTATTTATATTGCTGTCAATTCTTTTGCTATTAAATTAATTCTTATTAATTTATTTTCATTTTTGTGTAATTATTGAATATTCTATTTATTATAATCTAACTAAAATTGTGAATAGTTTTTTTTAGAAAATAAAAAGTATAGTATCATAAACTATTTTAAAAATCATTAAATAAAAGTTTTTATAATTATAATTATTATATTTTATAACAAATGGTGTAAAATTAAAAAAAATTCACAACCGCGATAACCTCGATGACTACAATAATCTCCATTATATCCGAAAACGCGATAAACACGATGCGACCGAAAACGTGACCGTAACCGCTATTTAAATCCCTGGTCCTGAGGTAATTATAAAGCTATCAGTCAAGCCCTCAAACATCCTCACATTCATTACAACTACATACATATCTTCAACTATGTTAACGTACTTTAAAGGAACTACTTTCTTCATTAAGGCCTATCAAAGAACTCTCAGGGAACTTTATCGTATGCTTTTTCTAAGTCGATAAATACCATATTTAGATCTTTCTTTCTCGCCCAAAACCCTCCAACAAAAGCCTCAATAGGTGAATTGCCTCTATTATGGTGTGTCCTGGCATAAACCCAAAATGATTTACGAAAATAGTAACCTCATGTCGCAACCTACATTCAATTACTCTCTCTCAAAATTTCATAATGACTCATAATCTTTATTCCTCGATAGTTCCAAAAATTTTGTATATCACTTTTATTATTGTATAAAGGCACTAGAGTACTCTTCCTCCATTCTTCTAGCATCTTTTGTGTATACCAAATTTTGTTGAAAAGATTCGTCAAGCATCCTATCACTATTTCACCCAAGCATTTCCAAACCTCAATCGAGATTCCATCTAGTCCTACAGCTTTCTTTGCTTTCATCCTTCTCAAAGCCTCTTTAATCTCATACCTTTTAATATTATGTTTAAACATGATTTATATCCTTAAAAAGCATGTTAACCTCTCCTATATCGTACTCAAAATAGCCATTAAAGAGATTATCAAAATAATCTCTCCATCGCTTCTTAATCTCCTCATCCTTCACTAAAACTCTTTCATCATCACCTTTGATGCATCTTACGCCATTAAGATCCCTACTCTTCTTATCCCTCATCTTAGCAATTTTAAACAATTCTTTTTCTCCATCTCTTGTCTCTAGTTTTATATATAATTCCTCATGGATCCTAGTCTTTGAATCTCGAATAACCTTTTTGGCTTCCTTTTTTGCTATCAATATTTCAGATAACCAATCTCATCCCTATTGCTCCTAAAAGAAGACAAAAATGTATTTCTTGTATGGAACAAAAAGAACCAAGTAAAGAAAGCTCACCCGACCAAGGTGAATAACCACACATTATTCACAGAATAGACAGCAATGTGAATAACCACACAAATGTTGTAGTATAAAACCATCACTCCTTTTGTAATCAGCCTAAAATTCTAATACAACATAAACTCATGAAGCTTGACATCCTCCTCCACTTAACTACTATATGTCAAACATCTCTGTGAAACTAAACCAGAACTATAAACTTCAAATACAATGTTACCACCATTCAGACTTTTGTCAGGACATGTTCCCTTGCATTCGCAAAGCTTATTACACGATCCTTAACCCAACCAATGAAGCAAACTGAGAAAAGACAATATTGTGGACATAAATTGTTCTTAAAACACATTCCTAAATGCTCCTACACAAGAGTGCACAGCACACTGACAGTAAGTCTGCTGACAAGAGTTTACTCTAAATTTGACATACATGGCAAGTTGTTGTATCACAACCTAAAACCTAAAGTTTCTAATTTTCGCACTACTGCAATCTAATGGCGCTGTTTTGCTTTGTTTTCTTATCAATTTAAGGTGCATCCTCGTTAATCAACATGGAAAACAAGCTTCATATTGGTCAAACTTAATTAAAGGTAGATTCACTAAATCACTAAATTCAGATGTATATATGAGAAGCTAGTAATCTGGTAAACCAAACAAATAAAGATACAGACAGCAGAAAGCTAGTAAAAAAACCAAGTGAGCATTAGTCAATAGAAAAAGAAAAGGCCGCCTCCCATTAACAAAAACAAACATCAAATGCATCAAAGGCTACCATATCAAGCTCAATGAACTCCAAATATCATAGAAAGGAAAGAGACACTCAAAAAGCAGCCAAAGCAACTACCATATGTGAAGTAAATCCACCATTAATGAGAAATGTAGGAAACAAAATTAAAGAAAAAAAGGAAAATATTTGCATTAAAAAAAAAAACTTATAACCTTTCACAGAGAAGAAAGAAAAAGAACTATCATAACTTTATCTCAATTTAAAAAATTTGCAATTCCTCACAATAAAAATCCCCCCGCACCCACCATTTTCTTGGCAACCAAACAGACGTTAAGACTCAAAATTTACATAAAAATCTCACATTTCAAACAAATACCATGAAAGATCGAAACGACAGCAAGTAATTCCCATCCCAAAATAAAACAAAAATACAAATAACACAACAGCCCAACCCTAAAATACCAGAGCCCTAGCATATATTCAGCATCTCAATATAAAAAAAAAAAAAAGGGATTTGTAAAGTTAGAGTAAAAACAAAAAGAGACATTAGGGTTTCTAAAGTGAGAAGAAGTAAACTTACAGTGACGTATAGAAGCCTTTGAAATGGAGCTCCAAAACTGGATCCTTTAAGAGTGCCAAATTTGTGAAAAAAAAAAAAAAGAGTTAGGGTTTGAAGCCGAAGGAGATTTCTAGGGAGAGAGAAAATTGGGTTTGTTTTTTAGCTCAAAAAGAGAGATAAAAGCGATCGAATCAGTGTGAAATTTTCAATGAACAGAGGAGCAAAAATGAGGTTCGGATCCGAAGGTGAGGTTTGGTGTCGAAGCTGAAAGGGAGGAGGAGGTCGAAGGAAGGAGGAAGGCCCGTGTTTGGGAGAATGGGTAGTGGAAGGGTGGGTGAGGGTTGGAGATGGAATTTGGTGGTCCTGCAAGGAGAATCAGACACGTGGCGCCACGATTGAGGATTTTAAGCCTTGGCCGTCTGATCTGCATAAAAGTTTTTATACTTTTTTCATCTCAAATTTTTTAAATAATTATTTCCGTTTCCAATATATGCAATTTTTAATTTATTAAAATAATTTTATATATAATCAACAATGAAAAACTAATTTCGATTATAATTTAATAATTTTTTATTACAAAGATCAAATATAATAGTTTTATCAAATAAATAATATAGTTAAATTTCATTTATAGGATAGATTGTATAAAAGTCATTCAATGTCATTGCACCGAGTGCAATCAAGTGTACTAAAGAAATGTTATGGTATGTATATAAAATTAGGAAAGGCAATAAATAGAGTTAGGGTAGATTTTTCCTCATTTTAAATTTGATTTAAATTTATATTTATAAAATTCGAATATGATTTAATTTTAAAAAAATTTTATTTTTAATATTCGAATTCGATTTGACTCAATATTATATAAATTATATCTAACTTGAAATTAATAAAATATTTTTAATATAAATATAAAATTAAAAATAATTTTTTTATATATATCATATTAGATTTGTCAAAATCTCGATCCGAACTTTTTCTTATTATTATCAAACCTGATTAAACTCGAAACCCGATTTTCAAATAAAAAAATTGACCCTATAAAATCAAATCAAATTGAAACCCGTCAAAGGTGTATTGGGAAACCTAAATTAAAATTCATTTATATTGAGATAATTTTATGCGTGAGACCTACATAATATTTTATTAAAATTTTTTTATAAAAGTTAGTGTATGATATAATATTTTAATCCCATTAATAACTTTAAAAAATTAAAAAATTTTAACAAATAATAAGAGTTTTTAACAATATAATCTCGATCTTGAAAAATTATAAAAAAAAATCTTTGTTTTTATCAAAATGCTAAAATTATTCACTTAAATATGATAATTATTGAATATTAAATTAGTAAAAGTTGATATATAGTACAATAGTTCAATTCAATTCACAACCTTGAAAAATTAAAAGTTTTTAGTAATATTAAGAGCTTTTTAATAATTTAGTCTCATTATTAATCTTGAAAAATTATCAAAATATTAAAATTGTGCACTTAAATTTGATAATTATTGAATATTAATTAAGAAGTTTGATAAAAATTAAAATATTAATAGCTTTCAATAATTTAATTTCATTAACCATCTTAGAAAATTACAAAAAAATAATTATTTACTTTTGTCAAAATATAAAAAATATTAAATTAATTTTCACAAACTTGTATATTTCTCAACACACTTGTCATCAAATGAAACCTTATGCTTAAGTTTCATTTATAAGATAGATGATGGATTATTGTCATCATCCTCCTTGAAAAATTTAGATATCTTTTGCTTGAATATTTGATTTAAGGAATAAATAGATCATTGTTTTTTCATCAAATAGTCTCATTATGGGGAAAAAAACTATTTGGAAAGAAAATAAAACATAACTAAATAATTAAGCAACTATATTTTTTCATAAATTATAAATTTAATTAGCATAATTAAAAATAAAACATAAATTTAATTAGCATAATTATAAATAATAACAACAAATTATA